GTGTGTGTGTGTGTGTGTATAATATATGAACAATACATTAGTATTCAAACTAATAAAGAAACAGAGCTCATAAATTTGAGAGAAAGTGGGAGGAACATAGGAAGGGTTGGAGGGGGAAATGATATAATTACATTTTTTTATTTTTACAAAATTATAATTTCACATGTCAATCCCTTCTCCCTCTCCCCTCCCCCTTCCACTCCCCATAGAGGGTAGGGCCCTCCAAGGGGGCTTCACAAATTCCACAACATCATCCTGGGCCGGGCCTAGGCCCTTATAATTACATTTTAATTAAAAATAAAATAAAATTTTAAAGATAAAAAAATTATGTCCTTCCTTTCTTTTGAATTACATTGTTCAGCAAAATGTGAATTAACTTTTACTCTCCAGATCTGGGTTTTTGTTTCCATTTTAAAGGGACAAATGTAGATCATGGTTTTAGGAATTAGAGCAATACTTTTTAAGAAAGAAAAATTATAAAGTTGCATTTGGCAGCACATGTCTGACATTGCAGCTACTCACAAGGATCACAAGTTAAAAGACGGCTTGGGCTATAGAGTAAGTTGAAATAGTAAGTTGAAAGCAACATTTAAGTATCTTGTCTCAAGACAGAGAGGCAGACAGATAAAAGAAGAATGGTGTGTTTTCTTTCTCCTGTATAAAGAAACAAAAGCCACAAGTGTTGAAACCTGATTTCATGACCACATGAAACAGTTGTTCCATGTTTGAATGAGAAGAGGGTTTTTTTTTGGATGTATTGAAGGTAAGTTGATTACAGGAGACAACATAATTACAAAAACTTGAAAGATGTTGTTTTATTTTGATTTTCAAAAATAAATATTTATGGGAACGTGACTCAAATATTTCAGCCCCCTGGTCCAAGTTGCACTGATTTATACTGATGAACCAAGTATACCCACATTGCTGTGCAGCCACGACCAAAATCCAGTTTTAGAATTTTGTCATTTTTCCTGCCTGTAACTCTTAGACTGAGTAGTTAGCAAGAGTCAGGAGTTGCATTTGATTTTCCCTTTTAAATATCTTGTCAATGATTTAAAATGGTTCACGTGACTGTTCTAGAATGACATGTGCAACCATCTCTTTGCTACCACACCAATTAAGCATTTTTCAGGCCCTGTTTAAATGCTACTTCTTTTGTGTGTATTTTTTTGTTGCTGTTGTTCATTAGGAGAGGATTTTATTTTTAAAGTGTTATCTTAAGCTTATTAAGCTGCAAGGATGTCCATTAATTAACACCATAATTAAGCATGCCAAAAGTGAGTGAATGTCATCAAAATGCCCACTTAACCCACTCAGATATCATAAACTCACCCTTTACTGACCTTCTATAGCTCTCCCCCGCTCTTCTTTCTATTTATTAAACAAGAGAAAGTACAAAAATGCATGTTGGTAAATGCTAACTGTCCATAGTCACATAAAGACACAGTGCAATCTCTCAGCCCAATATACAGAGAAAGGAAAGAAAGCTTGAATACTATTTACCCATACACAGGTGATTGTCCAGCTTCCAGCAGAAGGATGGTGTTTCTTTTTCTATTTTTTTTCCACAGAGCATAATGGTAGTGTTGCATCCACAACTTTTTAGCTAAGAAAGGATAAAAACAAGGATTTAGATTTAGATTTAGAACAAGAACTTGGATTTAGAACAAGAAGTGGAGATTCTTTACCCATTGTATATTGCTTAACATACTTCTCCCAAAATAGGTTGAGAACCACAGTGTTGTGAAGAGAGAGAGAGAGACCTCAAAAACAGTGCAACCAAGCATAAGAAGGATGGGGGAACGACAATGCCTTCCTTCCAGAGACTAAGGAAAACTAAAACAAAATAAAGATTGAATCCAATCAGTGTTCTATGGTATTAGTCATCTTCTCTTTCATCCTCCTCTTATTCTTCATCCTCATCACCTTTGTCACCTTCACCTTCACCCTTATCCTCTTCATCAGTATCTTCTAATCTTTCCTCTTCATCACCATCATGATGAAATCATTTCTCACCACTCCTTCATCCTCCATAACAGGAACCCAATAGTACAAGCGATGTAGTCAAATATCTTCTTTGATTACCCCTCTTAACTCACCTGTACCTGCATCAGAATGGTTAGTAAACCAGATAAAAAGTTCAGTGGTTCCGAATGCTGCCTCTTACTGGAGGCCTTATTCTGCCTTAGACTTGAGCATTTTGTCAAATCGTTTCCAAGTTTCCATTTCATTTTGGTGGACTTTAAAGATGAACCATTGCTCTCAATCAGGTGAAATTCTTTGGAGACAACTTTGTTTTCAAAGTAAGGATTCTCATCAAAATAAATCTTCATATGTAATCTGATTATATATCTTCAAATCCTGTCACTTCACCCCTGGTGAAATAATTCAGGGCATTATTGTCCTCCTACTCAAGCAGTACAGACACTTGTTAATGGCTGAAAAATTCTGTTACCCAAAAATTTGGTATTTTGATCATCAATACTGTGATCTTCTGAAAGAAAAAAAAAATCGGCCAGGTTTGTTATTTCTTTTTTTTTTTTTTTTTTACTTTCAAAGTTTGTGGGGTTTCCCTTTTCCTCAGGGGTTATTGGCTACTGGCCCTTGAGGAAAAAGGTAGCAGAAGTGCTGAATTAGTTCCAAAATGCTATGGATACTTAATGACAACTGAAGTCTAGGAGGTACAGCCTGATTTTAGATTCTACTTTCCTTAACTGTCACTGCTATCTTTCACTCTACTTTTGTATTTTCTTTTAGTTCCTCAGAATTATTCCAACTATTTTTTTGCTTTCACTCTTTCAGTTGAGAAGTCAGTTAGTCTAATAGGTTGTTTCTTTTAAATAATCTATTCTTTTTTTCTCTCTCCAGCCTGATATTTATTTATTTTTCTTTTTTTAAATTTGGAAACAATCATTTTACATATCAATCCCCCCATTCCCTCTCCCTCCTATCCTCCTTTACCCACTACCAACCCCCCCAAGCCACCCCCACATTCTCCCCAAGGACAGTGAGGCCTTCCATGGGGGAAATCATCGAATCCTGTCACATCATTTGGGGGAGGGGGCTAGGCCCTCCTCAATGTATCTGAGCTGAAATAGTATCCCCTCATAGGGAATGGGCTCCTGAAGTCTATTTGTGCACTAGAGATAAATATTGGTTCCACTGTTAGAGGTCCCATAGACTGCCCAAGCCTCCTAACTGGCACCCACATTCCAAGGGTTTGATTTAGTTCAATGCTGGTTCCCCAGCTTTATGACTGGGGTCCATGTGCTCTTACTAGATCAGGTGAGCTGGTTATGTAGGTTTCTCCAGCATGGTCTTGACTCCTTTGCTCATCCCTCCTCCCTCTCTACAACTGGATTCCAGGAGTATGGCTCAGTGCTTAGCTGTGGGTGCCTGCTTTTTCTTCCAGCAGCTACTGGATAAAGGCTCTAGGATGGCAATGAAGGTAGTCATCCATCTCATTATAGTGAAAAATAATCTATTCTTTTCTCTGTTTGTAGTTTTTTTTAATTCCCATTGTCTTTACTTTTCAAAGATTTACCACAATGCTCTATAGTTTGTATTTATTTTAATTATAGGGACATGAAGTTCAATTTATATTTACCATGTATTTTTTTCTGATAGCATTCTGTAATGTGAAGAAGGTAAATATTTAAGCTTGGAGGGTCCATTCTCACTAGATTGAGGAGGCAAAGGAATAGAGGTGGGGATTAGCAGCATGGCTGGAAATTGAGGAATCAGTCCCAAAGGGAAGGTAAACACAGAAGTTGCCTTTAAACATGTACTATAGACACATTCCTCATGCCAATCTGTACATTTCTTCTTAGATGTTCTTGGGTGTTACGATAAATCCTTTTGCCAAAAGCTGCCTGAGCCCCACCGCCACGTGTGTGCTTTACGCCAGCCACCTGCCCGAGTTAGGGCCCAAATGAACACACAGAGAGACTTGTATTAGTTACAATGCTGCTTGGCCAATGACCAGGATTCTCATCTGTTAGCTCAGTCTCAATTATCATATGTCTATATATTTTATAAGACTTATCTTATCGGACGCCTTATTGGCGTCCTTCCTTGCTGGTGAATCACATCATGCCGCTGGAGCAGGAGCCGAGGGGAAAAGAGAGCGACACTTCCTTTTTCCTCTTCTTAAATACGAGTCTCCTTGCTATGTCACTTCCTGTCTGGAACACCACTTCTCTACTACATTTCCCAGAATCCTCTTTGACTCCTAGTCCAGTATTACCTGCTGTCTCATTGGTCAAGCAAGTACTTTATTTATAAACAGACACAGAAGTATTTCCCCCATCACTTGGGGGATGAAACAAAGAGACTACTCCTTTCTTTGTTTTCTGTTACTTGTGTCTCCCTCTTTATTCTGCATGTTCTGTCACTCAAGTCCTTCCAGACCAGAGCCGCTCCTCTTTGCATCAGATAAAACCTAGAGCTGACATTAGTACTGCCAATAGGCCTTGTAAATGCTGACTAATCAAGCCTGGAAACTTTCATCATGCTTACTTCCTTTACTCAGATTTCTATAATTCAGAATGGCCTCTCTTGCTATACATACCATAAGACCAGGTACCTGACCACTGGAAGCAATCCCTATAACCAAGAGAACTCTGGAATTATTCAAATTATCCCATCATAAATTTGTACTGTAAGGGAGAATTCCTGAAAAGTAACAGTCTGCAAAAACTGATTATAGGCCCAGAACCTAATTACCTTATTTGGGGCTAGTTTTAACCCCTCAATAGCATTCTTTGCTCATGTCTGTGTTAGAAGTAACATCTGTGATTAATAGATTAAAAAAACCTTTAGAATTGGTGAATCTAGTAGACCACTAGCTTCCACCAACCAAAACCTGAGAATATTATCAGATAACACCCAAGGCCCCAGGAAAGACTCCAATCTTGCTGCAATTTACCTCTTTTATATGTTCACTAATACATTTTGTAATTCTTTGATTTACGACTTTGTTCTGTTACTCTGAAAATTTCATGAAGCTTCTTTCATTTGGAATATGGAACTTTGAATAACCTACATCTGTGTTCTCCGGCCACGGTCACTCAAGTTTGCCTCCAGCTTGAACCACTGCTAATTCTATTTGAGGTGAGCGCTGTGTTTGGAGGGTGGAGGCAAAAGTCCCATTTTCTTAGTTTGTTTTCCCAATTCCTTGCCTCAAAAATAATGGATCTGACATGCTCTTGTGTGGTTATAGTTTCAGCACTTGGGAGGCAGGGGCCAAAGAAAGGATTTCCAGTGATTTTGAAGCCAGACTAGGTTACACAACAAGAGTGTGTCAAAAAAAATTCAAACCAGAATTAATTAAATGAAGCCAGGTGTGGTGGTACATGTCTTTAATCCTAACACTCAGGTGGCAGAGGCTGGTGTATCTCTAAATCAGAGGCCACCCTAGTACAGAGCAAGTTCCAGGACAGCCAGGACTACACAGAGAAACCATGTCTTGAGAAAACAAAAGTAAACTAAAAAATTAATTAAATAGCACACCCCTCCCCCAGCTCCTGTCTGCTGTGTGCACATATCATCACTTTGTCCTTTCCCCCCTTTCCTGCCATCTCCTGCTTCTTGCAGACTGGGGATGAAATAAGAAACTCTTTTCAGACCACAATGAAGTTTGTGTCTGTGTATCTTACTATACTGCTCAAAACACAAGTCCTAAAGTTGTGTTTTAAACTATTCTGTTTTAAACCACTTTTTAAAAATAACTAAAAAGTTTTCTCTTGACAGAGAAAAAGGGCCAGCTTCAAGTTTTCTTTATTCCATTCTGAATGTGTGGGTTTAAAGGGTTCAGGACTGGCCTATTATTGGCCCAGTAGGAGAAGGGAAAATTCCAGCCAACTTGATTTTTATTCTGATGGAATCATCCCTGGTAGGACTGTTCATTTCTCCATATGGACACAAAGACTCTCATGTTTCTCAGCCCTTAGGGTAACTTTGCCTGGCTAGTGACAGAATGTTTATAAGGATTAGTTCAGTCTTCCTTTATATAAATAGTAGAGAAGACTGGGTAAATCTGATCCAGTATCATGGGCAACAAAATAAATTAAAACAACAAAGTAAGCTTCAAACGATCTTGCGGAAACATCAAGAAATTGGCTAGAGACACATGTGACAGAATTCTTATACATACATTCCCCCCTGATTTTTATTTACAAAATAATCTAGTTGACTAATTTGTGGGATGATTATGTGAATGATTTCTTTTCCTTGTTTGTACTCTCTTGAAGTAGAAATCTCCCTCTACCTCATTGATTTGGGGATTATTTAAATGATGTATATGAATTGTGTTATTTATAGGTCTGGATTATAGATTTTTTCACTATAACAACTTATGAAATAGATGGGGTAACTTAGGTTCAGTATTTAGAAATGTAATTAAAACATTAACACTACAGGGTAGGGCCTTATCTAATTAGTGGGAGTTTAGAGGGCTTCTAAAAGCATGAGCATAAGTGTCATAAAGACATTCTGTCTTCGAGGCAACTTAACTATTTCTAAACTCTGGACTGCTGACAGTCATGTTTTATTCCCATTACAACAGTCCTTCAGTGTTGCTGATTTAGCTAGGTCAGGGTATTAGTAACAGAAATTTACTTCTTATAATTCCAGAGGCTAGAAGTCTGAGATCAGGACACAAGAATGGGCTTGGGCTTGATGTGGTGAGTGGCTTCTTCCATATTATAATCCATTGTGTTCTCTGTTATTCCTTTAACAGGGACTCCACTCTCATAAATCAGTGGCTGCCTCTGTAAACCCTACATCTTAGTTCTGTTATATTAGGCCTAGAGTTTCAATATAGGAGTTGGAGTGGCATAAAAATCAAATCCATTATAATGACTGTCTTCTATTACAGCAAATTACTTTAAAAACATGGTTACTTAATTGATTGGTTTACTGGATGAATATATTTTGGAAATGTTTCATGTTCTTTAAGCTTCCCTCCCTCTTTCCTTATTTTCTCCTTTCTTTCTTTCTTTCTTTCTTTCTTTCTTTCTTTCTTTCTTTCTTTCTTTCTTTCCCTTCTCACTATACTAGAGAGATTTTCACAAAAGAAGTGAAGACAAAATCTAACATGCTTATGTCTGGCTGATATTATTCATAGGAAAACATTCCTGTGTACATATCAATATGTTAGAGTGAAAATGTATGGCAATGCACACCTACAAAAATCACTGTTAACATCTTCTTTGTACTTACTTTGTGCCCACAACTAGAGAAATATATATGAAAATGATGGCTTAAGTAAATTTGTATCCAATGCAGTCAATATAAAAAGCAGGTGGAGTCATGCTCTTCTTTCTCCATTTCAACCATGATACCACCCTCTTGATTTTCCCCATAACATCTATGCCCACCCATTTCCTGTTCCTTGGGAGATTTTCCCTTTTTTATTTCAAATGTAAGTATGGCACTTACTAAAAGTACGATGCAAATCCTTCTTAATAGATAACCTATCAATCATTCTTTTGGACTTGTTCTCTGGATTCATTTTCTACTTTCTACTGAGGCCAAGCCACAAATTCATGCATACAAGTAAGGCATGCAATCTAAAAACTCCCAATTCACAGATAATATTTCCTCTTAAAAATGGCTTTCTTCTACTACTTCCTATCTTTGTTAATGGCATCAGCCAATGTTTTTAGCAGCTCTAATGAAAATGCTGCTATTATAACTTAGACTCATATTACAGCCAGTGTCAATCTTAACAACCTTTTCTAGCTATTTAATGGCGCTCACTACTTCATTCTAGGTTGTCAAAATTGATATTTACTCAACCTAACTTCTTAAGTATGAAAATATGTCATCAAAATTATTGATCTAAATAAAAATAGATCATTGGATTTATTATTTAGGTCATTCAATAACATAACATTTAACCCACTGTGTTTAAGGAAATTCATTAAAGTAAG